TAAGAGAGAAAATAAGACAATACTAGTAAGTCCTAATTTACAAAAGCTTATACCACGAAAAATTCAATGCTTCGGTGAATAATATGTTTTTTTCAATAGTCCTCTCTGTTGTAGGGAATATTATTTTGGGTGTATTTCTATCAAATTTCCAATATGTATATATCCGAAAAGACATTTTTGTGATAATTTAATATTTTTTATTCTTCAGTTTTTCATTGCTGTAGGTTACAATGCTTGCAATTTCCCCGGTGGCAGTAGCTGAAAGGATGAGGAAATTTTTGGTTCCTAAATAATTAGAAGAGATGTAGTAGTTTCCGAAGTAGTTCTGAAACAATAAGGCACAATATTAGTTTTTATGTAAGCTAATAATGAATTTTCAATTGTATTCATGATTCTTTATTGAATAAGGGACATTTTGTGTCATTTCTTTTTTATTTAGATTTGATGATGAATATGTCTTTGATTGATTGTACAAACTCCTACCACCACCAATCCCTAGAAGCTTTAAGTGGGATGAGTCGGCGCTTGTTAACTTGATTCATGCCTGCGACAAGCAATGGGCGCAAGCAGAGCAACATTTTTGTATCGACTCACACGAGTTGGCTCTCTCACATTCTCGTCGGCTCATGCTTGGCTTGCGAACTAGTAGCCTAGCTAAGCAGTCCGCATTGCTTTTGCAACCATGCAAACTGCGTTGATGGCACCCTACATCATGTAGAGTTCCATAAAATTTAAAATTTGAATTAAAAATTCAATTTTCATTTTTTTTTTCCAATTTCGAGTATATAATTAGGGAGCTGTATGTAAACAATTTTTTTCAGATTTCTCTCTAATACCATTTTCACCTCTTTATAGTATAACTCTCCTAATTATTTGATTGAATTTTTTTTTTCATAATTTGTTTGGAGTTAGTATTATAATAAGGAGCTTTCACTGTGTAATTTATACTTCTATTTTTCTTTTCAAAATATTATACGTAATTGCTAGCTCATCATCATCTTCTTAGAACGAAAACAATTTTTTCAATTTCTTTCCAAATTTCCCAAGATCTGACAAAATGTCTATTAAGATGACCTTTGATACGATGAAAAAATAATTAAAGTTATTCTTCTTAAACTACAAGTTAGTGTTTCTTTAACCTTTGATGCTATATGTTATGTTGACCGTAATTGATACATATATTTGGTAGTATTATATCTTGACATTCATAATTTCACTTTTGTGAAGAAATTATTTGATGTTAAACATATTGCATCATATGAACTCTGTAATGCCCCGAGTTCCGTGAACCCGGATTGCCACGTCATATTCTTTTGTAACTGAATTAACTAACAAGATTTGCGGAACTAACTAAATTTCAAACATCACATTTATAGCGGTAAAAACCTCGTTGACAACAAAACTCATTTGATTAACTTAAGAAATTTGATTAAACTTTAAATCTCGAGTTTTTGAAATACTGAAATAACAAAGTACGTTA